AGTATAATGGCCCAAGTTGTGTATATTTCTGGTTTTAAAGGGTGCATGCATGTCATTTTCGAGTAACTTGGAAGACTGTTCAAGCTGTTTGCATTTAGCCACTTATTGTTGTAATTATATCAACATGCCTGATCATTATTTATCAAGACTTCTTTGTATAAACATGGTGGTAAAGCACTAATAGTCAACCCTACAATAATGTTGTTATGTATATTGCTATATAACCCACACTCGATCAGATAGGCTGTTGTGTGTATCATTTTATAAAGGTATACATGTAAGCCTCTGAAACTGCTTTGATACAATGATGAGACACTAATACTGTGCAGTTAAAGGGGGGAACAAATGGAATGAGTGGGTTGCAGCTCATCAAAGTGAGTCGAGGTAGGTTACAGTGAAGGTTTCACAGTGAAATCCACCCACGCTTAACCAGTTTTTGTGATCAAATGAAATAAAATAATAATACAAACAAGGGAACCATTGTTTTATCTAAAAATAGACTATGGGGATAACTAAACAGATGGAGACAAAAAGGAAACCAAGACCAGAGTAGTCTTGATATTTCTTCAGAACTCCTTTAAACCTAACCGACACCCTTTCCTTCTCCCAACCACCCGCCAACTCCCTCCACTTGGACCATTAATTCTCCCAGCATGCTGTAGGCTTGTGTGCAGTGGACGGGTGGTGATGAGAGCATGGAGGGAGAGAATATGTGCTGTGTGTTTGTGCTCACAAGCGAGGAAGAGCTGACAGAAATTGCCCAAGGGTTGTTCGGGGTTGTGTGCGTGTGAAGCTAGGTCTGCAGACGAGGAGCTGCACCCCCCCTCCTCCAACCTGGTGTGTACACAGCAGGACAGGCAGGCTGAAAATCCTGCCGGTGAACAACTCTCAACAACGCTGTGAGGGCTGCGCGCGGAGAAAACAGGGAGGATGAACAGAGTGTTCAGCTACATGTAGAGACTGATGCGAACCGTGTATCACGCTACACTTAGAGCACATTACGTCTTTGGAAAGCTGCCCTTTTGTGGAAAAAATAAAATAAGTGCTATGTTTCTCACTGCATATCAGGGATATGATGCACAGATTTTAGTCAACAGCAAAAAAAAAATGTAAAGGCCATGTGGTTAAAAAAGGTTATATTCCTAAAAAAAGCATTTGTTTTGACAAAAACAATATTTTGCCAAGTGTAGAAATGTTTAATGGGGTTTTGTAGCACACTCAAACTATGTATTTTGTTATCTTAACTTGTTATTACAGTAGCAAGGGGAAATATACAAATATTTGGCAATGACCGTCCCTTTCACTGCTGGAATGATAACAAGTTGCAGATTTTACCAGCAAAATATCGTTAAACTTAACATAAGACAAGAATCCTGAACAACTATCATTACAATCAATCCCTGAGCTGTGATTGTTCGATTGCATTTAAAAGAAAAAAGCACAATCAAAACAGAGGCTGATTATGTTTTCTGCTGGATCAACTGAGGTGACATTATATGCGACTCTTTACAAGCACCACCAGGATAGTGGCTGAAATATTTTTAAACAAATGAAATGACATTTTCTGTCTATGTTTTCTTGCGAGAGGTTAAGTCATCAACAAAATCTACTGGCAGATTATAGCTTTAAACATGTGGTAAATGTTGTGTATTGAAAATGAAACAAAAACACTACATATATTAAGTGAAAGATCACGGTTAGGCTTTAAATAAGCAAATACTTAACAAGAACACAAAATACTTAGATTTGAAACATATTTGTCATACAACAAACACAGAAAACATTTTTGTTAATTCATTTCTAGCTTGCTATAGCTAACGTCTGTCTAGCTGGAACTGTTTCTGTGGAAAAAACTGGCCTTGTGTTCAATTCTTCTCAACACATGCAACAATACCAACTGGAAAGTTAAGAAGGCGAATGCAAACTGCTATGTGGGTGGACCTTGGTGCATATGCAGGATTATTCCCATCCCTGGAAAAGTATAACAGAGGTCAGATATTGACCATGCTGTTACCATTGGCTACTCAGAACATCCAGTGTGTCCCACGGTTGCCTTTAAAATAAAATGATCTCTTGTTGTGGCTTCAAAATGCCTGCAAAGGGAATAAATTGCATATTCCTCTCCTCTCTAATGTATTATTTTAATTGTTACTTCCTACAGTTTAACCATTGTAATTGCCTGCACATAATTGTTAAAATTGTACACCTATTGCCTTAGCGAAATCGGAAACAGAACACTTAAATCGCTGAGTGAGCCAAGTTATATGAGTTAAACAGCAGGATGCCAAACTGTTTCCATTCCTTTCTCAGTCTTTGGGTTTTTAGTGCCATACTGGGAAAGAGAAAGTTAGGGAGTGAAGAAGCTAATTGTCTTCTGGTGTTTGTTTAATAAAATCATTTTGAACTTGTACATGGTTTGGCAAGAAATATAGACATTTGAAATGCCAGTGATTTTCTGCACCTTTCCCCCTTGAATAGTTGCAGTTGGGAAATACAAATTCAATCGTATACCCTTTTACTTCGTGAAGGCATGGAAAGTTTTCACTTCACTGTACAGTATGTATAGGGAACTCTGGTCTTGTCTGAGATATTCCTCTTTGGCAGCCATATTGTGAATCAAAACAACCTGATCAAGTGTAGCTGTGAAACTAACTTGAGGGCTGTATAAAGAGATATTTTGTGGGGCCGAATGGGTGAATGAAAGATGACATGAAAGGGCTGTCCACCCACCGCCTAAATAGGGGTTCAGGCATTCAATAGGTTTCTGGGAAACTTCCACCCAGCAGGACGCAGAATCACAGCTGAAACACTGCAGTAGCTTTGAAGCTCAGACATATTCCATATTCTCTCTCAACCTCTGTCTTCCTCACACACACACACACACACACACACACACACACACACACACACACACACACACACACACACACACACACACACACACACACACACACACACACACACACACACACACACCACACACACACACACACACACACACACACACACACACACACACACACACACACACACACACACACACACACACACACACACACACACACACACACACCAAGAAACTACATTCAAACGCTCCCACTGAATGACGAGATAGCAGTGGATCATTGATCTCATACAGTGATTGGATCATTCGTATCTTCATAGATCACTTAAACCGCTGCTCAATCTTTCACATTAACATGCATTTGTCCAATTAGGGAGTAAAGGATTACAAAAGACCATAACAACGTTATTGGAAAGGGGGAATTCAATTCCCTCCCTTAATCAGTAGGAGATTTTTCACTGTGCTAAAACTGCTATTGTAATTTTTTACTCATGAATTCTCCGCTCTGTTGGTTTAATTGAATTGGAAAGAACATTCAGTGACTGTGGAGTGGCACATAGAGCCTAGAGCCAAGCTTGCAGCGCTATGAGCATGTTCTTTGGCAAAGCCACACTTGAGTTAAATGCTAATGCTAAGGTGACAAAGCTAACATGATCATCAGAAGGTATAATGTTTACAATGTTCGCTATCTTAGTAAGTCTTTTGCAAAGTGACAGTAATCACCACTACAGCTGAGTCTGTTGGTAATGTCAATGATTATGAAGACACAGACATTTAGCTGATGGTGCTAAAGGAAAAGGATCAGGTTGACATTTTTCCTGAGGGAAAATAGGATGTACGTACACAAATGTTGAGACATTTACACTCAAAAACAATAAATGTCAATGTCATGGTTCATTATTGTGGTATTAAAAGAGAGAAAGAACCAATCAAAGATTCATTAGCCACGTTATAGCTGGTCATCCAGGAAAAGGACTCAAAAGATTATCTTAGAAGACTATTAAAACAATCAAGTAATCCCACAGCAACATTTCCACACTTATTTTAGCTAAACTTTTGATATCAGAGGAAATCATTACCCGGGTAAACACAAAGAGAAACTGTCAAACTATAGTTCTTAATTCTTTAAAAAGAGACTGAAACTTCAATGGTTTCAATAGCTCACAGATATGAGTAAACATGTGGAAAGGGTTAGAATATATAAAAGGATCTTTGTGAATGTAGGAAGGATTTGTGAAAGAAACGTAGACTTAGAGTTGCAGAGACAGACAGAGAAGTGTGTCTGTGGTAGGAGACTATGGGTAGGCGTAGGAACTAGGGTGGGGGGGGTGTATTGTTTGTGTGCTCAATATCACCCTCCGTTGAAAGCTGTAATATCTCTTCCATTTCATTAGTTGCTACATGAACAGACGTGACATCAATCAGGGCTGGTTCTGCTGATTGAAGTGCTTCAGCATCAGAAACCATCATGGAGCATTATGGAAACAGCCTGCAGTTTGTAGGCATTGATTGTTAAATATTTTGTTGTAGTTGTATACTTAACTAATCTAATTTTCCAAAAACTTTTGTAATTCTTATTAAAGTAACATTCCTTTTTATTTGGTAAACCTTTTGACATCATATCTCAATTGTGTATGTGTCACCATTGGTTTGGCAGAAGCTGTCATAAACTGACTTTTCATCAAGTTTTAACCCCATTTTTACAATACACTACGTAGGTCTCAGTCTATCAATATTAAACAGATGAAGGATTTAGTCATAGGACACTATTATCTACTGTTATCAGGCTGAACAAACGTTAGCAGCAGCCATGTTGTGATGGCGAAAGTAGAAGACTTTAACAGATAATTTGTCTCCCGGTAAAAACCTTCTTAACAATGAACACTGAATAAATCTGAACTGAGAGGCTGAGGGAAATAGTGGTAAAGACTTTCCCACCAACACACTTCCTCACGACTTGTTTAGACTGACCGACCCGTAGCGGCAGAAATTACATATGTTCGAGTTGCAGTTTGGACTTATGTACCAGGAACGTTTTGTATATTATATATGTTACTGGGGACATGAATACGGGCCAATTAAAGGCATAGGACTGACTGAACATGGGCAGCATTGTTATTTATTGTTTGCAGCTCTGGATCCTTACCGGAGTTGACAGTGCCGTCTTTGCTGATGGAGGCCAGGACGCAGGGAAGTGGAAAGCTGGCTTTCTGTTGCACATTGTCGCTGATGAGCAGTTTCAGCTGCTGTGATGTGACTGGTGGAAAGCGATAGAACTGGAAGGTGAAGTAGATGTTGTCAGGCCAATCAGGACCAACACCCGCCGTCGGTATTCTGGCAAAACACAGAGGGTGATGATTATTCCACAAAAAGAGCAATATTTAAAGGGGACCTATCATGCAAAATGCACTTTTGTACGTCTTTTATACATGAATATGTGTCCCCGGTGTTCCAGGGAACTCACCAAGTGTCAGAAAACACAACCCTCTCTATTTTCCTCCATACCCAAATCTCTAAAAAAGGGGCTGCAACGGATCTGATAAAAACTGATCCAGATTTGAACACTGTCCTGACGTCAGGACGGTGGCGCTACGGCTATTGGGCCAACTCCACCAATCAGGAGGAGACAGCCACGGCCATTGCCGTTCGAAAGCGCTGGAGACGCTGTAGTACATATGCCAGGCCTGTAGGTGGTGCTGTTCTCACAGAATCTGCCCTTGCAAAAACAGAGCTAAAAAATGTCAAATTGAGCAAAATGAGGCATGGCTAAAATGCATGATCTGTTTGGTATTTTGAAAAAAAAAAAGTATAAATATGCCTTATATAGGTATGGTCCTACACTATATTATTCAAATATAGCATGATTGGTCCACTTTAAAGTAACACGGCAATACTGATTGTAAATAAATGCACACGTGATTGATTTACAAGCCTGGAAGTCACCAAATTAACACTAACTGTGATATTTTTATTACAAACCCGATGTGGGGAGTAGAGTGGTGGGCATATATGAAAATTAACGGTTGAAAATGGCCTTAAAAACCTGCAAAAGTAAATCACATTTCAGCTAATGATTTACCTGAGACAATTCCAGGAAAGAAAAAAATTGAAATATGCATGTCTTGCACATCCCACCTCAGCCAATTATTCAGCTTTACAGCTTCTTAAAAGTAAAAACCCAATAATAAAAATGAGGATGAGAACTCAAGGTACTAAATCATACCTGAAAGTGGCCATAAATCGGAGAGCTGATTAAGAAGATACAAACTTAGCACTGCACCTTTGATTCATTAAGAGTGGATAACTTGGCTGCTTCTTAAAACTTAAGGCAGCTTGAAAACATAGTTATTAGATCTGAAGAAGTAATTAAATCTTGTCTATGTCAAAAAAAGTTTATGACTGTAGTTGTAATATGTAAATACAAAGGGAGTAATTGTTTAAAGTTTGTTTTCCAGAATGTATTTGGAGAAGGGAAAGTCTCTGTGACTATGAGAACCTCCTGGTGTTGTGTGTACCTCTTTACAAAAACACCCCCCTCCGAGTGTGATTTCACAACAACGTACACAGATCTAAACACAGACTTCAAACTGTGGATGGCCCATAAAATGTTTTGCTGCTATAGGCTTAGACTGTCGGGGGACACCTTACTTCTTCCTTCTCTCTGTCTGTACCTGTGTACTCTCATGTTCCGAATAACCCAGCTTCCCCCAAATTTCTTTTTGGTGTCTATCTACGCCGGGATCCTGAGCCGTGGCTGATCCTGTTGCTGTGGTCCTGGATCCTGAGTCCTGCATCCTGAGTCCTGCATCCTGAGTCCTGGATTTCGAGTCGTGGCTGAACCGGTCTCTGCGGTCCTGCCTGACTCTCATCATACTAGGGCTGCACGATATTGGAAAAAACTGACATTGCGATTTTTTCCCCCCTGATATATATTGCGATATGAAAACATACAGGAATTGAAGAAAAGACCGTTTTTTTTCCCGCAAACCATCCTTTCTTGAACTTTAATGCTATACAATTGGTATTTTTTTAACTATAATTAACCGGATGAAGGATTTTAGTCACGGACGTCTGGATCTTTTTTTTTAAATCGCACGTCCACACGATGTGAATATCGCGCATGCGCATATCACGATTATCGTCACGACACGATATATCGTGCAGCCCTACATCGTACTACTTCCCTGATGGCTCCCACAGGATTGTTGACATCCTCGTGGATTCATCTTCTTATTATAGACACATGCATTTCCAAACATTTGGACTACCTATGTTGCAAATGTATTATCTATTGCACGTCTGTCCGTCCTGGGAGAGGGATCCCTCCTCTGTTGCTCTCCCTGAGGTTTCTCCCATGTTCCCCTTTAAACTGTGGGTTTTCTCCGGAAGTTTTTCCTTGTACGATGTGAGGGTCTAAGGACAGAGGGTGTCGTATTGTCATACTGATATTCTGTACAAACTGTGAAGTCAACTGAGACAAATGTAACATTTGTGATATTGGGCTATATAAATAAACATTGATTGATTGACATTGAATGATTGAAAATGTCCCAGTGGCCTGCAAGGACTCGATTTAGCAGCGAGCATAATAAATAATGAGCGAAAATTCAGGGGAAGCTTCTTCTGCTTCCGTCAAATGAACAGATTAGCAATCAGTCATCGGGTATTCAATAATGAGGAGGCAAAAAAAGATTTCAAAATGAGCAGAGAGTGCTAGGACCCCGCGTCGACGGACAGGACGTAAAAGCCTCAGGTTTCAAAGAAGAATCTAATAAGAGCGGTGTGTGACCTCCCAGTCAATCACTCGCTCTGATACGCCACCGTTAAAGTTTCCACCGTGCTCCGCCTTCACAGAGGAGCAGGCATTAATATTCATTCCGTAAACAGACAATATTGATAATTATGGCGCCCGGGTGAGAGCTAGAAAATTACACTGCCTGGTATCCACAGGCTCCTAAATCCCTGCGCGCCATACTTGTTTGTCATAATTATGAGGTAACCCTCAGCCCACGCTACAGTGAGCCATAGAGATTCACAAAGTATGTTCAATTATGGGCTTTCAGAAAAAAAAACTAAAATAAACTGGAGAATTAAATTAGCTTTGGTATTTTCACACATTAAAGTAAAAATCCATACTTTCTGATATTAAAATATCTGCTTTTTTCACAGTCTCCCAAGGATAATATGGTAGGGTTTCAGCTTACCCAGGGGCTTTAAGTGTTTGCTGTTGCAATCTTACAATACGACTGGGTTGTTATACCATACTTCCTTCTAACTCGCCTGCAGAAAGGAAGTGATTTAATTGCCAGCCTGTCGGGAATAGACAGGATAGCGATGATGCGCTGGGGAAAAATGAAAGGTATCAGAAACATTTAATTACTGACCTCGCTGCTCAATATCAGGGAGGGGAAGGTTCTTGTAAGAAAGTCAGTCTGACTTCTTTTTATCAATCTCACCGTGTGCATCCATTATCAAGTTATTTTTTAACACTTTGGTGCATCTGATTTATTGCGAAATAAAACTGTTATTACACCCATATTAATCCCATGTTACACTGTTATTAGACCCATATTACACAAATATAAGACTGTAGCTACACTGTTATTTCTCCCATTTTACACAGGGACACAGCCTGTCAAATGACTGTATCCCCCAGCATACTCTTCTTATTCTAAAGGACACAGAGGCAAAAAAAAGAGTCCTTTGAAGACTTTACCTGTGGTTCTGGGCACTTGTGGGGGGCATTTTTCAATAATTTATAATGTTTTGAAAACTAAAAACGGACATCCAATTGGAAGATAAATAACGTAAATGCAGTCCCAATCATTTTCTAAAGCCTATTGGTCCATACCAAGAATACCAATGATTGTTTTTGCTTCTTAGCCATGAGGTGCCTCTTTTCCTGCTGCTTTTTCTACCTCCATAACTTAATTCCTCCTCTATGCTCTGCTTAAAAATAGAGGGTAGATGTCATAGCACAGCATCAAAGCCCACATCGTACACACCAATCAGACAGAACAATTGTCACAGAGTAGCTGACATGTGTTGCTCTAGGGACCTAGGCTAACCTTCCAACAAAAAGTGGCTTGAAAAGTGTTCTTTACCTGAGAAAAAACATTAAAAACTTTGATGAAAACTACAGACTTTGCCCAAAAAGGTGAATAGTGTGTGGCTTGGTTATATGCTTAGATGGAATAATGAGGAATATGTACTCATCTCTCAAATGTGGAGTACACAGGTGAACCTTAAGCTAACATCTTCTACCATCACAAAGGAAGACCCAAATATTTGATTGTAAAACAATCCTCATAGAGTGCCACAGTGACGCGTCCTAAAACCCGGAAGTAAACTTCTTCCGGTTCCTTCGACAAAAACCAATGCAATTTCTCCATAGGATTTTGGAAAATAGCTCGAAATAAGGTCTGTGGTTGACACAAATTGAAGAGACAGATCACGTTTTGTTCAGCCGGATAATATCCACATGTCTACCCTACTTTTATAATTTTCTAATCATAAATCAATCGATCATAAATCTATCGATTAGAAAACCGGAAGTGATAAAATGCTATCTTACTTCCGGGTTTTAGGACGGGTCACTGTGGCACTCTATTGAAAGCAAAAATGTCTATCAACACCTAGGAGAGAGAACAGCTGCACATGTCAAGTGTTGAAGTTGGTACGCAAGAAGTCATGGCAGCATGATGGCGATGAACAAGACAGATGTGTGTTGGATTTATCAAACTGCTGATGCTGCTGATGACAGGATAGAAGGACACAAGGAGTGGTGTGTTTTGTACCCGTCCTTCAGCGCCCCCCCCCTCCCCTCCACTGTCAGCTCTGACAGAGGGGACACGGGCTCTAGGTTTTTTTTGTGATGAGATGCTGACAGATGTGCGATTCAGCCCTTGCTTGTGTGTTTTTATTCAGACTGCGAGTGTGCGTCGGTGTCTGAGTATGTACCTGACGTGTGTGTAGAGGATGACTGGCAGGACTTTATGCCGGCACGGTTTAAGTGTATTGAAGATTTGGCTGCAGTTCAATGCGGAAAAAAGAGAGAAATCTCAAGGCAGGCTGAGCACTGCAATAATGCATTAAGTGTGTATATTTTCCTATACAAGGTAAAATGGCCTGTGGCTCAGTCTACGATATGTTAGTTGAGTGTTTCAAACAGTGATGGAGGTAGTTTCTGAATCCACTTCTTAGGTAAAAGTATCCATGCAGCAATATAAAAATATTCCATTATAATCAAAAGTAGTGAATTAAGAATCCTACTTGTATAAAAGTGCATATTTCGGTCCCTCTGTCTGATATATTTTCATGTATGACATCCTTAGGTCATATATCTGACTTTTCCCACCAACTCATGATTTTTCATGAGATATGAAAGTTTTTTACATAAAACCATGTGAGATGCTTTGAGGGAAACATCTACATTTGGTTGCACGTTTAATGACGCATAGAGATCTGAAATGTAACTCCAATTACAATGATTTGTATTAGCGTCCCAAGACAAAAAGGTGTGAAATCACTGGTTTTGTGTTTTAAATTCTTACCTTAAAATTCTGTCAAATAAATGTGTAAAAAGCACATCCCTAAAAGGTATAGAGAAGCGGAAGTCAAAGTAACATAAAATGGAAAAACCCAAAGAAAGTACCTGTAGTTTAAGTAGATCAATTCATAAAAAATAAAGTTACTGTCAACCAATACTATCAAATCAACAACTGCAACATCTCATTATAATAAATAAAAAAATCATTGTATTAACAGAAATATTTCAGGAGCATAAAATCATAAACCAATCTGCACTGATCTCTATGACAAAAGGACAGACATTGTGCAGTACATCAGCTGCTGTTATCATTGGTAACACTGATGTGACCCCGCACCACAGGCCTCACCTGGTAAACGCCAGGAACTGGAACACCAGCAGATTGCCTTGTAGAGGGTCAATCTCTTCCCGTCTGGGGTCAAAGGTCACAGGCTCTGTGGGGTCCAGGACTTCAGCCACCTGCCCATCAGAGTCAACGATGTTGGGGAAGCCAGCTGAGTAGAGGTGGGCCAGTGCGCTCCTGGAGCTGGCTGAGCAGGAGCTAAAGGAGAAAGTTGTTAAATTAGAGGACAGTTCGAGAGTCATGAGCACACATCGATCATTCGCCTAGCAGAAAATACTTAATCGAGCGCGAATGCTGATGCTTTACGAGGGTCTGGATGTAATGCGTTTAACCAGAGATACAGCAGCCTCACTTGGGCGATTTGCGGTTGTAAATGAGGCTTACAATTTGTTTGGGATCCAAGCAGAATACAGTGCCGCTTTATCATTTCAGACCCAGTTTTGTTTCGGTTTCTTTGGGATTCCTTACCTATTGGGACTTGATTTCAATATTTGCCTGGACTTAACAAATGCAGGGAAAAAAAGCTCAGACAGCAGGAGGATGTCAGCAATATCCGTCAAGAAGCAGAAGAACGAGAACGCTTACAGGGGAGAGGGAACGGGTGCCAAATCGCCCCCTCTGGATTTTCCCAACATAATTGGCAGTTATCTGTAATCATAGTGGCCACCTGTTTTTCCGCAACTATGGTGACATTCATAACTTATGCTCTCGACACTGACACCAAACGCTCTGGGTATGATAAACACAGTGCACAGATGTCTGGCTAAAGTGCAAGCACAGGAAAAATGAACGATAATATTTGGGTTATTATAAAAGTAACACAGCCTCCATTAAACTAATTAAGGCAACAACAGTGAAGAAGACAGTCGATTGGGCTTTCTCCTCAGTGGCTGTGTCAATTTCACGCCTTCAAAGTAAGATCTTAATTTAGCCCGGGTGGATTAATATTCAAGACGTCATTTTTATTTCAAAGGGGGCTCAATCAGATATGCACAGCAAACTTCAATTAAACTTCTTTAGATTCATTGTTCTTCTCAGAAGTGGGTCAGCCCGTACCGTACACAGTCAAAAAGATGTTCTGGCTCAGAGTGAAGAGGCAGAGATGTTTCGGTCTAGTGAACTGAACAGCGTGGTATCTGGATCCAAATTCTCGGATTGGGAAAGGGTTTTCGATGCCAGCTGCTTATTGACAGACTTTCTTTGCTAATGCAAGGTCTTGTTTCGGAGTAACCGTGCCCATTATTTGCAGGGTTTCTCATTGGTGGTCAGCTTTACCGCTGCCATTAAGATATCTTCTCCAAAACTTTTATTATTAGCTGCTGTGTAAACTCTGAGCTCAAAGCAATGTATTCTGTAGCAAACTTAATCAAAGTCAAAACCTCAGCCTTACAGCTGGATTTAATCATGTATTCCCACACAAAAAAAACAATGCTGAGGCCATTACCCAAAGTGGAATGTAAAGTCTGACAAAACGATTTCTTCAAATTGGCTCTGAGCTGGATTCTACCGCTTTCTGACAACATCGCTGTACCGCACAGCGAACACATGCTGCCAATTAGAGAGCCGATCGATATCCCTCTGTAGATAGCGAGGCAGTGAACTTTTGTGGTAATGAAGGACTGTACACAGAGATACCGCGGCCAGATAAAACAGAGGCATGTTTAAAGTGGCTCCTTTATTCAATAATGTCTCCTGAAACCTGGGTAACACTTTCTGTCAATCTCCGGTGCTGCAATGGAGACGTTAGCCACCCTAGAAACTCCTCATCATAGAAATTACGATTAAGAAGACATATTCTTCTCATGTTCAGGTTCATATTTGTATTGTGTGCCTCAATTGTGACATGTTTATGTGCTTTAATGTTTAAAAAGTGCTTTGTTTTTTCTCATACTGCCTGTGCTGCATCACCTCTTTTCACTCTCTGTCTGAAACCAGAGCCCAGTCTGCTGTGTTGTGATTGGTCAACCGCTTAGAGATGTCCCGCCCCTTAGCCTATAATGGTGTTGTGGGTTGTTGGAGAGAAACTTGGGGATTTTAGCCTTTGCAGACCATTTACATGCATCAAAACGTATATTACACATTACACAACAATACACTACAAGAAAGGGGAAAAAAGCTCAATAGGGCCTCTTTAAAAGAATGTGAGTTATTATGTATTAATCTCGGAAAGCCAGGTGGCCAAATCATACCAGCTTCATATATCTGGAATACACTAGAGTGCAACCGATTCAATCCCAATCAAATCGATTTTCAAGGTCACACATCATAAGCGTCAATCATTTAACTGGCCAGCGCTTAGTGTTTTACGAATAACAGCTGGCCTCTTTATTGCAACTCATATTACACAGCTGATGCCAACACCAACATACATTAAGCGGTATTTCTGTCACTTTTTATTCAGGATAAGGGATAGCCCTGGTTTTCGGAGTGCAGAATGGTACCTGAATGGATTCAATTCAGTTTGGGCAAATAACTAACCTTATCACGGGTAATGGAGATTCAGAGGCCAAGGGGAGGAAGACCACAAATTAACACGTGAAAGGGAAATGATGTCTGGCATGTTTTATGAAGGCAGTCCTGTGTTACTCTTGGGGTAAAAGGCAATTTATAAGTGATGTATTACAGCATAACAAAACGTAGCTTATTCCTCTGGCCTGCTATTTCTTTTAATTTTCTTACTATTCAAAAATCACCGAATGTCAACATTGCCAGACTTTTTTGTGTCTGAGAGTTCAAGATACTTTGGCCTTTCAACCAGCTTTGTAACTTAATTGAATTTGTTCATGACAGTTTCACAACAATTGTGATGTAGCCCTCTTACTTAAAAGAAAGCCTTTGACTTTCTATAACAGATCATTTCTCATGGCATTTCTCAGGCTCACCTGGGTACATTCATCCCCAGTGTGATGACAGGGGCATGGACAGGGGTGAAGGGCAGCTCCTGAAGTTGCGCTCCTTCGTCTGGAGCCAAAGGTGACGCGCCTCCTTCCCGCTGGAGGTCCATCTCCAGGTGGGCGATGTTGCTGACACCTGAGCAGGCCTGTACCAAAGTGAGAGGATAAAGATACAGAGGGTAACATGAAAAGAGCTGCAGAAACCACATTTGAACTATATTTAGGGTGGATGGGTTTTTAATAAAATTCCTTAAAGAGGCTAGGAAATCTAAAGAGAAGGTGACTGTAGTCCAGCTGGTGTTTAAAGGTTAAACAGTACAGGGAATTGAGTGGACAAAACAACTCCACTGTGGTATGGTCACATGCAGAGTGAATCCAAATTGGAAGCATGGAAATGAATGGACAGTAAAATTGTCTTATGGAGGTTTAAAAGGCAACATGGCATGAGAGAAAGCTATTGGAGTTGTCAGATTTCACCAATTCTCCCTTTTGCTTTTCTGCTTGTGGTCTCAATTTATTAAAAAATAACTAATTTTCTGCAGAACATGTTGGCACTGTAGTTTTTAAAATTAGAAAACAGGAGTGAATACTGCATTTGTTTGGCATTATTTTTCGTTGTGAATTAACACACCTGCACTAGGTAGCACCTCTAAAAGGCAGGACTGTGTATGAAGGGAAATGTGGATCATTGCTGTGTTGGTTAAAGAAAAAAACATTATGGCAAAGATAAATGAGAAATATCAGGCTTCAGGTGGATAAGTATTTTGGTTTTGGTTGCAGTGCATGCGTGAAAGGGTTGCATCTTTTTGTTGTCTGAGGATGATGTATTCTCTGTGAAACATTTCTGTCCCTTCCTGTTATGAGAACTAGCTCAACTGTGGTCATTTTTAATTAAACCTAAGTGCTACTGACAGTCAATTTCTCATTTTGATTTAGGTGAAAGCAAACAGGACGGAATATACAACACCATTGTGACTTTGAAGCATTTTATTTACAATCAGTGACTGACATTTTTAATTTAGCCTGTTAGCCATGTTTCTTTCCCCTTAAACTGTTCAGGAAAAGAACAAAAAAACTGTTAAAGCCTGTGGATCAATTCAACATTTCTTAATGTTTTGTGGCAAACATTAATCCCCTTTTCTTGTCATTGAGACACGCGGCTAAAGGGGTATTAGCACAGATAATTAGCTAAGGAGTACTAATGGTGTCATTTTCCAGTCAAGTGTTGTTGTTTTTTTGGTCTTTGATGCATGAGCATTGGTTCAGTTGGCCTATCAGAGGACAAGCATGGCTGCGCATTATTAGCCTTTCCATCATACATGCTGGTAATAACCACAGCCAAAGTCAAGCCGCGACATACACATCCATGTTCCCCGTTGATCAAACAGCCTGCGGGATAATAACCTTAGAGGATGCAAAGGCATGGTGTAGACCCCTTAACATGTTTAAAGGGCTCAAAGTAATAGCTTTACAGGCGACGGTAACTGAACCTGGTGCCATCAAGCCTACACTGTGTGATGGCAGACAAGAGAGTATCTTTTATAGGCAGGTGTTGAGGTTATGGACAAGGACAAATGGAGGTTCAAACAATAAATTCTGCAATCTGATTTAATGACTCAATATATGCACAAAGACTGCAAGAGAAACTCCCTTGGAGTACCATAACTGAAAACTAATAGCCCGGGGACTAGGGACATAATGCATCACACTTATCCAAGGCTTTATTGTTGACAACAAAGTATTGGACAGCATCAGCTGCCGAGTATGAAACAAGCAATCAAAATTGAAATTCATAAGCAATAAAAACACTCCCATCCTCGACTCAATAGACTAAGGTTTATTTGCAGCTACAGTACAGGCTCACTTGGTCTGGTATGACAAGCAGCGGTACCTTTAAAATTAAGATTGATATAACTTTGTAACTGATACTGAGTCAGATTATGTATGTGTGATACTGTTACGCCAAATTCTAACCATTTTGCCAATTTCCTGTTGTGGCACTATGGAACATCGCCATTCCTATTAGCTAGCGCTCCAACACATTGTTTGTGGTTACTAAGATAAGGGGCTAAGGATCGGGATATTTCTAAGCGGTTGACCAATCAAAACAGAGCCGGCCAGCTAACCAATCAGAGCAGACTGGGCCCTGGTTTCAGACAGAGGGTGAAAAGAGGTGCTGCAGCACAGGCATGAGAGCAATAAAGAGCTTTTTGAACATTAGATCATGTAAATATGGCACAGTTAAGGCACACAATACAAATATGAACCTGGATATGACCATAATATGTTCTCTTTAAAAAGAGGCAAACAGAAGTCAGAGGTTAATGTCCATTATTTATAGTTATTGTATTTAATTAAAACAATGTGTATGTCTTTTTCATTTTAGGATATGACATTCAACGTTTTGAATCTTTGGATCTTATAAAACAACTTACCTCAAATTTTACAGCAGCAGCGTTATAGGTAATTGGTGTACTGTATCATAAAAAGAAACAGTGTAGACATACATTTCTACAAAAAAGTGGCATTGGTTCATGCTTAATTATGAAAAATCATCAAATCAAAGTCTCCAATAAAGTATGTTACTCCAAAAGTAAGGACATTAGATCATGTTGATGAGTGTTGCCGTACATACAGTACTGCATGTCACTTTTACCTGACATATTTAAACAAGTCCACTGCTTGAAATTAACCACAAATACCAAATTACAGGATTTTCTAAAGATTAGACATACATATACTTTATTTAAAATACATACATTTTTCTGACTGTTCTTCTACAGCACAACCTTGTCAGTTTTTTGAAAAACCAAATTGAATTGTGTCTTTTTCTAGCCATTTGTGCGTCTGATTATATTGTTATCTTCAGTAAGCCTGATCCACATTTCCTGGATTATTCCTGCAATATGATTCATAGCTTAAGCCATATGGATTTGAGCATGAAATATGGAAGAAAACCCATTAAAGCTACTGCTGTCTAGTTAGAATATGAGCAAAGTCCTTCTTAGCTGTGCTGATGCGTAAAAGCAGGTGGAGCGGCCAGGACAGCTCTGAAAAAAGCCTCACAATCGACTGTGAACACAAAATTCAAATGAAGAAAAACTTAATACAGAGAAGCGGATGAAGAAATGTTTAGAAATGTTTAACTCGTCAGATTACTATAACTAAATTACAGTTTATACGTACAACTTTTTTACTGAACAATGATGGAAACCACTGTCTGTTCATTTTGAATGGTTCCAGTTAAGATTGTTTTGATTATGATAAAGATCCGTCCAATATGTTCAGGAAAACCACAGATAAGTTGGTGTAAGCAAATAGTGAGAAGGACATCTGGGCTACTTTGCTCATGCAACAAATGGATAGATAGAAATCTGTAGTTTGTTATTTTCTCCTGTCTGCGTCATGATTTGCTTGCATGAGTTTTTGTTCTTGTTAGTTTGCATATCCTGTCCTCTTTCCAGGTTACATTGTGGAGAGAAAGTAATGTGACACGTGCTCCATCTGTTTGACAATACCTGTAAGCTGTTTGACATCTTCCTGAATCAATCTTTCCCCTATATGTTGGCATTACATATATCATTTTGTCATATTGATTGTCTAATTGTAATTTCATAAGGATCGTTATTCTGCAAACATGACATCCTTTTCTGAAGTTTCTTTCATTTTTTTCATTAAGATTTATTATGGCGGGATTTTCCGTATCTGCTGAAGGGTCTACGGACAGCAGGCGTTGTATGCTGTACGGATTGCAAAACAACCGAAGGGAAATATACTTTGCTATATAAATGAAATTGCCTTGACTTTACTTGACATGGATTGACACATAATAGTAATATAAAGGATGGCAAACACAAAATAAGTACCTTATTGAAAGTGCCCTGTGGGATTTTCTTTTAAACAAACACAAGTTCTGTTTACATTCAGAGTTATTCACCAAAACACATTGCGTGTATCCTTATGTGCTGTAAAGGTGAGTGTGTCTTTGAACTCTACCGAGTGTCTGTTGGCATATCCTTGGGGATTTACAGGCTTATGCTGTGTGTTTGAATGCCACCTAAAGATGTGTAAATGCATTTCTGACTCCTTTTCTACTTGTGTACCTTCCTCAGGGTGTGAGTACAAGGCTAAGTGTGTGTGTGTGTGTGTGTGTGTGTGTGTGTGTGTGTGTGTGTGTGTGTGTGTGTGTGTGTGTGTGTGTGTGTGAGCGTACGGAGGTGGAAATCTTACGACATGTGACAGCTGGTGGGCCGATGCCAGTGGGGAGGGATGGAGCAGAGAGGGAAACGACTGTTGCCACGGCAACGCCGAGCTGGAGTGGCTGATGGTCGGGTAGCGTGAAGTAGCTGCCAGCTGAGACAGCGAGAGCTGCGGAGAAACAATGCAAATGATTCACTGTTATTATTATGATTATGAACAACAGGGCTCAGGAATATAGTTCACGCCAGAGAGACACATGTATCGTCTCAGATGACAACAACACACCATTAAACTGCTGCCGCTCCTATAAGCCCTTCGCACTCCACCCGTTTCCCCACCCACCCACACTCCCTCAACACTGTCATCCCCAGCAGGTCGATTTAATAACTGTTTGTCTGATCCCTTCTTGATTCTGTTGACTTGTGACTTGACACAAAACAGATTGGAGCTAATAATCGAGTGCTGTTGGTTGTTTGACAAGGTGACCTAAAATATATGTTTTTTTATTCCGTTATCCACTTAACAAATATTGTTATCATGACAACCAAGGTCCTTCACTTTATAAATACATTCTAAGGTCCCTGAGCATTAACAATGTAGCCATAACTATAGCATTGTCACATCATTAACATATTGTATTAATTTAAATAGGCAATTGGTATTGAGTAGTTACAAACCACTTTATTAGTCCAACAAGCACAGAGGTGAAGTGAATGGGATGTAAATGATTTTCCTAAAATAAAATATAGTTTATAACCATGCAAAAAAGGATAAATAATAATTACAAAAGGCTATGCTTTCAATATGAAATAATACATTTATCAAGCAGAGCACTCATATAAGGACATGCCCAAAAGTTTCTGAAAACAATGTGTTTTGTGTCAATTTATGGGATAAAAACTGTCTCTTATGAAACAAGAAAACAGAAAACATGTTTTTCATAATAGAAAAGGCTGTGTTTTCTTTAAATGACTGATTTTAGCTGCCATTTCAGCATTTAAGCTTATTTTATGATGTTTGCTTTAATGCAAAATGAACACCTCTCTAATGTTCACCTGTAGTCGAGACACATTCGAAATAATTAACATTTTCACAGCACTACTTCAATCATGTTTAAGTTCTTCCTATAAACTAAAACAATGTCCTTATACATAAATATGTATTGATTGTTCATTTGGTCTTTTGGCTGCAGATGTGTCTCCTTGAAACCCAAGAAAGGGAAACAAATATTTGCAGGAAGTACTAAGATTCATTAATCATAACTTATCACAATGCAAAATATTTTCGTATGTTAAAAAGAGAAAATGGCAGCAGGGAGGTGGTGGTGGAGGTGTGAAAATGTACCGTGTGCGTCATTGTAGTTCAGGTAATTGCACTTCTCCTTAATGATTGAATGTCTGTGTAGAAATGCTGTAAATGGTGTTGGACCTACAACTCTTTGGCGGTAATTGGTCAGGCCTGCGTTGCATCTTGGCAATTTTCTCCTCTATTATTTAAATATATTCTGACACTTTCTCAAGTGTTATCGCTTAAATGGTAAGCTTTAGAAAGAAAGCCCTTAACAGTTTACTGCTATGTATCTGGTTTCGATAAGCATTGGCAAAAACGTATGAAGAGGGGATTGGAAGTCCCTTCCCTGGCCACCTATGTCCTCCTGGGGGATCCTGTGGCTTTCCCTGGCTCATAAGGACATATTACACCTCTGAGTGAGTCTACCCCAAGGTTTCCTCCCAGATGGATGTCCACAGGGAGGCGTCTGGGTGGAATCCTAATCAGATAACCCTAACCACATCTTCCAGTTCCCTTTGCACAGAGCAGCAGTTCTTCTCTGATTCTTTACGGAAATCTGACCCTTTCAGTCTGTCCTTAGTATAGGTGACACATCAGACTTCCTTTAAAGAAAAAGTTCTAATCTAAAATGATGAATATGGCCAACCACAGGCTTTCTAGACTTTCCTACTTCATATTCAAATAGTATCTTTACTATTTCATCAAGAATATAATTTGGTTACATACCATTTGGATTAAATTCCCAATGTCTGGTCCTTCCCATTGGGAAATGTTCCACTAGAGCAGGGGTGGGGAACCTTTTTCCTTTCAAGGACCATTTAAATGTTTTCAACATCCTCCGAGGCCGTACAAATTATTGACCTCTGCTTAAAAAAACAAAAAAATCACAGCCCATTCATTTCGCCTTTCTTTCATGCTGTGCAAAGAAAAAGCAACCTCTTAATCCAGATATCTTACCATGACCCGCGTATGCATGCACGTGCACGGTTGTGGCATGACCACCAAAACAGAGTTTCCTATCCATGTGAACATGATTTAAGTGGGGGGGGACCTAACCTCCTCTAGGGGGGTCCGGGGCATGCTCCCCCGGGAAGATTTTTTTTTTTTAAAGGTCCCATGTCATGCTTTTCTGGTTATTACCCGTCCCCTTGTGTGTTATGAAGGTTTTTATGCATGTAAACGGTCTGCAGAGTCAAAAACCCTCAAAGTACACCCTGTAGGGAGTAAAACTCTAACACAGAAAAGACCTCCCCAAAACGCCTCGTTGGAGATTTCTCATGTTCTTCCTGGGCATCGTGACGTCTGGATACCCAGTAGCCACGCCCAGAGCTATGACGCGATACGGTCATGCGGTACCCGGAACCAAATGGACCAATCCGTGGAGCCGTTACGTTACGTCCGCGGAGCTGTGACGTTAAGCCCCTGCTGATTGGTCCAAATTGACCAATCCACGGACTTCCTCACACACACACACTCAGTGCAGGCAGCTCAGCTGATTTCTCCTCCCTGGCTGCAGGCTGATAACAGACAGCTGGGATCGCGGCAAAATTCTCTCTGCAGACCCATTCTCACAGCGTTTATCAACCTTTTTCTTACTCAATATCAATCCACACTTATTGTTTTTACTTCGGCTGTGAGTTTGTGTGTGCTCAGGATGAGTTTGGCTGTGTTTCGCTGTGTATCCTAAACAAGGAAACAACACCTCCACGGAGCTCAGCGCGATTCACAACGTCCTGACCAATCAGAGCACACTGTGCTCACAGGGAGGGTGGGGGCTGGAGCTTTTGGAGCTCCAACGAGCCGTTAAAGTACACGTAGTTTACAGAGATGCTGTATGAGAAACCAATGTGAGTTTGGAAAATTGCACAGTATAAATCTATTCTAGTAGACCTCAACAATGGAAATATGATCAGTGGAAATAGCCATGACATGGGACCTTTAAATGTTGAAGTTAAAAGCATCAATCTGGTGCACTTTGAAAGCAAAATGAAGAGATCTATGGATACATCTCTCAACACCCATATGAAACAGAACTGTAAACAGATTTATTTTTCTTTGTGGATATTTTACAAATCACTCCCCTTTTAAACTGTATTCTTGTTTATTAATAACAACTTTCTTTTACTGTCATATAGTATTTTATACCCGTTTACTTTATTATCTTATTTTTTTAAACTATAATGATCATATAAAGATATGCCTTTACCTCACTGTAGAAAAGGCTTCTTATATTCGTTAGCATAGCTAGCTAACCAGATGCTAATAACGACAAAGTTATTGACTGTCTGATATGACGAGACATATACCACGTGATGACACGTTAGGCTCGTGTTGTGTTCAAGGACCCTGACCTTAGCCAGGAAAAACAGGCACTAGCTTGTTTAATTCTTTTGCGGTCTCGATTTCTTGAATTTTTTTTTTGCGTGTGCCAAAAATGGTTGCCATTAAGGCTTGATCTAACATATAACTTGGAACAGAACAGTCTTTTTCTGTTGCCCATTTCATTATGTAGGCCAATCATTTGCTAACCACCATTTGAGGCCCCAGCTCCACGGGAACCCATACGGCAAAACGCATCGGAGTAACGCAAATGCAACCGCAAAAAACCTTCCGCCCACACGCAATATACACCGGATTGTGTCAAGCTCCACGAGACGGCTCCGTTTACATCCAACCGCTGGAAAAGCTGCAGTACATATGCCGAACCTGTACGTGGCGCTGTAACTTCCTCCACAAAAGCAGCAACTTCCTCCACAAAAGCAGCGAAGAAGAATGGTTGTCATGGCTGCACTTCTGTTTATTCTCCGCGGTGGGGGCGGAGGGAACCGCGCAGAGTTTTTCGCCGGTCAATGTGTGTTAAAGTTTAAATCTTCATGCTTCCTCATGCAGCAGCTGATCCAGTAAGTAAACCCGACAGTAAAAATGAACATATTTATAACTAGTTTAGGTAGTTTGAGAGGTAATTAAAATAGCTAAGGGTGGTGATCTGACTTGAAGTGTGTGTTTTGCTCCCGCTGCTTCACAGCCGGAGGAGCTGCGTGTCTCCGTCCTGTCAGATTAGACTTCACTCGCGTTTATGTTCATATCGAGATAAAGATAAATAATCTGAATTCAGTGTGCAGTGTACTTTTGCGGAGGTGAGCAGCAGAGGCGGGGAGAGGCGGCGAGAGGCGGGGCTATGAAACGCATGACCGTATAGGCGACCCCACGGCCCCGTTGGACCCCCCAGAGCGCTCCGTTCCCAGATCTATCCACCTTTGGACCCGTTGTCGTTTGCGGGGTCTGTTTCTACGTTTCTGTTACGGCGTCGTCGAGCTTAAAGGGCTATACGCATGAGAAATATGCGGATTCAACCCGTTTTCGTCCTCGTGGAGCCTACGCCTGAGTGTCACACACAAACAAAAGTAACAAATCAAATATGAGATCAATAAGCAGTTAAACTTTAACTGTATTATTTCAAATTTGCTAATCAGAATTTGTTTTGGTAAGAATCCGTGAAGCTACATTATTAAAACAGAGTATCATTGGTTTGTAAGCTTTACTGAATCTGCTGGTCAACACAAATGGCTCTCTATATGTCAATAAAGTGCATTGAACCATATTGAGCAGTAAAAGAGGAGTTATTCAATCATCTGGTGATCTGTTGGACACTTGTATACTCAGTGAATCTGTTATGCTGAGGACATTCAATTGATTAACGTGAATCCCCTTGGGCCTTGAAAATAGATCAAACAGACACTCTCATCTACTTAAAGCATACAAAAGTAAGTAAATCCACTGTGTATACTTTCTGTGGTGATGTGACAGATGTCATGATAAAACACGGAGCATAAGGAAGGATTTAGTGTGTGACTAGTGTGTACTTAAATAATACATCA